CCCCAAAACCCCAAAACCCCAAAACCCCAAAACCCCGTTTAGTATAATAATAGTTGAATATAATTAATTACTAATGTCTCAATCAAACAGCTCGAGAGGATTAATAGGCAGGGAGTTTAAGAACCTTGGGGATGAAACTACTCAAAGAATGCAGAGGATAGAATATACTCAATCGCATACGCCTGAAATAAGATATTCTAATAATAACTCACAGTACGACGACTCTTTACCTCCAAAAGGAAATATGGGTGATAAATTGATAATCCCTAGTGACATGAAAATGGCTAATTACAACAATCAAAACCCTAGCTTGATCAAGAGTGAGATGTCCTCTGTCATTTTCTCTCCACAGGCACTCTTCAACAACGGGAAATCGATGGATAACATCATGGAATCAAGGAAGAAAAAGCTTGCTGCTTCGAGTTTTAAGAAGGTATTCTTAATAAATCTTTACATACTAATTGTTATAGTCAGCGGTGAACAAGGCCCCAAAGGAAATAGAAGAAAGCCAAGATGAATACCTGACTTATACATCAGAGATCCATGAATTTGCCACAGAGCTCAAGTCTGACAAGGTAAGCTATCATTGAAATCACGGGTATACTTATTTTGGATTTTATGAATAAGAGGTTGAGTAATGGAAGAAAAGCTTCATTAAACCGTATAAATTTAAGAAGAATACAACAGAAATATGATAAATTACATTTGAGACGAAGTTTTATCTATTTTAGAATTAAAATCTTTATCTTTTGTCTTGAACAATCTGTCTTTGAAATAGCATATAATGAGCGAAGAAATTTTCCATTTGGCTTTCATTTTAGTAGAGTGATTTAAAAGATGGCTTTCTAACCCCTAAGCAATATAAAAATCATTTCGAAGATTCAAGTTGATTTTAGGAAGAAGAGAATATTGAGGTGAAATACAGCAAGAAATGGCTATGAAGATCCACAAGTCAGATCAAAATTCGTTGGGATATTGTTATTATGTTGCTAGCAACTCTAAACTGCTTCCAAATCCCTTACAATGTTGTCTTTGTTGAGCCTGAAGATACAGGTGTTGCTGAAATCATAATCAATGTAATAATAGACATTTTCTTCATCCTTGATGTTATTATCAACTTTAGGACTTCTTTCATTGATGAAGCTGCTGGAGAAGAAATTACTGATTGCAAGAAGATAGCTATACATTATTTGAAAACAAGGTTCTTTATTGACTTCATTGCCTCAGTTCCTATTGATTATTTTTCATTGTTCATTGGTGGTGATCAAGGAGATTCAATTATTCTCCAAGCTTTCAGTTTATTCAAACTAGTCCGAGTTTTGAGACTAGGAAGGCTGATTACTCATTTGAACCTAAAGAATGATGTCAAGACTTCTCTGAAATTAACAAAGCTTATATTCTTTATCTTATTATTCATCCACTTTTTGGGGTGCACCTGGTTCTACATCGCAAAGCAAAATAAAAAGTGGATGCCACCGCTAGACTATGTCTGGGTTGAAACACACATATTCGAGGAAGGGAGCTTCTTGCAGTACTGAAACTCCGCATACCATGCTGTCCTGATGCTTGGAGGTAATGACATCGGCCCAAGGGGCATATTTCAACTGCTCTTTGTGTCGGCAATGCTCCTGGTTGGAGCTATTATTAACTCGATCATATTCGGAAATATGGCTGTAGTATTGCAAGCAATGAACAAAAAGTCTACCTTGCTCCAAGATAAACTTGAAGCAGCAAATGAAGCTATGAAGAACTTGAAAATCCCTGAAAAGCTAAAAATGGAGGTAGAAGGATTTCTTAGTCTATCACAAAGTGGTCTAGACTCTCAGAATGAACTGGATGACTTTTTGAAAATGCTCTCACCCAGTTTAAATAAAAAGGTTGCGACATACATTTACGCTGAGGCGATAGTAACCAACCCTTTCTTTAACGGACAGAATGATTCTATTAAAATGATTCTTCAATACTTGGAAACCAAATTGTTCCTACCTGAATGAGAGATCATACGCCAAAGTGACGAAGGAAAGAGCATGTACTTTCTCGCCAGAGGAGAATGTGATGTGTTTATTAAAGACTCCAATAAAAAAGAGCAATTTATTAAGACTCTTCATAGCCCAGATTACTTCGGCGAAGTTGCTTTAATCAAAGCATGTAAAAGAACTGCAACAGTTATAAGTAAATCATATGCAACGCTAGCTGAGTTAAGCAAGGAGAGCTTTGAGCTTATCTGAGATTCAAACCCCACTCTAACCAAAAGGTTTGAAAAGAATATAAGGAAGAACTATAATGATAACTGGAAGAACTTTGTTAAAAGATCTATCTCCAAAATAGACTATTTCCAGAGTCTCTCTGATAAAATTATAGACGAAGCTTTTTACTTCTTCGAAACTCTAAACCTGAGGAAGGATTCATTCCTCTTTAAGAAGGGGAATCCTCGGAAAGAGCTATTCATACTTTGAAATGGAGAAATAGATATTTATATTGATAACAGTAACAGAAAACCCCTGATCTTGGAAACTATAGGGAAAGGAAGCATTATTGGACCATGAGGGTAAGAATTTGTTGTAATTTTATAGGATTATAGCATCTGGGCAGTACAGAATGTCAGGAAAAGCTAGGACGGACATAACAGTCCTGAAGATGACCTCAAACGGGCTCCAGAGCCTCAGAGAAAAATTTGAAGCCTTTGATGAAACTTGTATGGAATATGAAGACTTCATAGATGATGGAGAGGTATGAATATCTTTAGAATGAATACACATTTTATATTAATTTCAGTATTTCTCACTTTTCATAGACTGATGATAAAGAACCATATTGTGACTACATAAAGCTTGATTCTCAAGGAAGATGCCTAACACCAATAGAAAAGTTTAAAAATGTAGCAAATAAAGTTAGAAGCATCATCAAATCCTACAAATCTGCTACTTTCACTGAGTTGATGATGGACTTGCATGGAGACAAGAAGAAAAAGAAGATGTTGAGAGAGAATAGGAAGAAGAACGGAATGATACCTAATCTTCATTTACCTCCAGAGGAAAGGAACGAGCAAGCCATCATCGTAGTTAATTCAAAAATAGATATGATGATGAACATAATCACTCAGCAGCAAAGGACGATTGACATCATGAGGAATGAAATAATGGGAAGATTTAATGACCTGTGACTCCCTAACGATCTTAGCAATATTGTTAAAGAGAAAGAGCCAGAAGAAGACAAGAGTAATTAGCTCTATTTCTAAGGGACAGGATAAAGCTGATACTTTAATCTTAAAAAACAAGAATAAAGAACACAAGCAACATCATGATAAATAAAGATCATAACAAGGCTAGAGCCAAGCCTAAGAGTAAAGCAACTAATTACTTTAACATCGAGGAGGGGTCTGAAATAATTGAAGATATCAAACTGCTCAACTCAAAAAGAAGTCCTGGGAAATCCAAATCTTCTTTAAACCAACAAAGAAAGCCAAGGAATTTCAAAGGAGGCGTTGATAATCTTAACGATCATTTCAATGATTCTGATGATGACATTATGAAAGAATTAGCTCCGTCTTCTAAGAGGAAAGAAGGTACATTCTAGTTCAAATACTATAGTATGGAAAGCTAATAAAAATACTAAAGATCTGTCAATAAGGGCAAATTATTTCAAGCCTGACTTGAATCCATCAACTAATATAGATCCTGAAATTCACTACAATGGTAAAAGCTCCTTATTCATTAGTTATAGACTGAGTAGAGGATGATCCAAGACCTATTCATCGCAGGGCTCAGACGAGTGACGGACTGATTGATTATTCTCAGAATGATCCTCCTGAATATGATTCTACGGGCAGTTAAGATCATTTCAGGATTAGAGAGCCTATAACTGCATTTAAAATATTTACTAATTAAGGAGTGGGGTTTTGGGGTTTTGGGGTTTTGGGGA